AATAAACTCTGGGCCTAGGCCTAAATAATATTACTAATTATCACATTGCTGATTGAAACATTTTACCTGTTCTTGTCCTTCGGAAATTTGTAAAATTTAAGGTCAGGATCTGCCTTTGAATTGCTTTTGCACACCGCACAATATTTTCCTCCACAAAACCTTATTTCATTAATTAATTAATTCATAGTTGTTTCTTACTTTTTACTCGTTCGGTAATGTGTTCGCGTCACGCCAAAATTCGTTACCAAGTGCGTTAATTGCTTGGTTAATTGTTTTAAAGGGATGGCGCATTGTAAATCAAAGGTACCATTGCAAAGGTAAAGTCGCGCGGTGTACGTTATGGTCAGAGCGGTCAAGGGTCAAAAGTTTCAAATTTAGCAAGAGGGGGCCATTCATGCCTTATTACAGAATTTGCACGCGTAAATCGCGGAGAACACTATCTTGTGTTTATAAGTAATAAACCAGCAATGGCTCTGCTAACTACCAGAGCCGTAGATAGAGATGAGCTCTAGATTTCACGGGATTCGATATACGCGCGTGTGATTGGGTGGATCGCAATCACATGACTTACACCGGCCATGTTGTCACCAAAACAAAACATTAAAGCTATACGCGCGCATGAGCCTGGGCTGTTTGGTAACGACATGGCGTCCATGCGCCAAGTTGGCCAAACTCTCTCTATCTAGGTCGGCACTAGATTCCATCCCTCAAAAAGACATGACGTCACACTATACATTCGCCTATCATCGGAGGCAGCACCCGAGCGGTTTCCGAAGCGACGGCACTTTGACAGGTTAAGAAAGACGATACGTGTAGTGTTTGTAGTGTTTGTCATTTTGATCTAGGCCTAGGCTTATGCAGTTAATATTTTTGTCTGTTGAATGTTATATAGTGGATAACTGTTATATGTGGTTTGTTATCTGTTTTGTACACCTCTAGGCCTATATTTTGTATAGAATTGTTTTGTGTTTGTGTTTTATACAGCAACTTTTGTTAATGTAATTTATAATAATGAATATGGTTTTTATAAAGAATTTAAATAGGCCTACTGTAAATCATTTGTAAATATTAATAAAAACATTGTTTTTAATTATTATATATTAAATATACAGTATTAAGCTTCCTTATAAGAATTGTTTAAATAAATAATCCTTCCATTTAACATTATCATGATTGATTTAAATCCTAAACACAGCACACAACAGAAAGTTTTTAATACAGTATATTAAATGTATTAACCTTCCTTATGTTAAGTATAAATCATATATGCAATTGCATTTATAGTCATCTTAAAATTCTAAATACAGTAAACCTGTTGGCCTCTAGTTGAGTTGTGTGCTTTTGAATACATTTTAATTGTTCAATTGTTTATGCTTTATATAATGTACAGTAATATTTACTAAATTGCATATATTTTGAGAATGTAAGAATGTATATAATTTTATGTTTTAAGACGTATACAAGTCTTAAACTGGCAACATCTGGGGACGGTGGAAGTAGGGTTTTTTATTTGGAAGGTGGACACTACGTCTATCTACTACGCCTAGTAGGCTAGCCTAAGCTTTTAAGTAGGCCTCTAGGGCTAGGCCTAGCCTAGCATAGGATAGGAAGGGCCACCTCCAAAGCCGAAGTCTTTAAAACTGACTTGACACACGAAAGTTTGGTTGTGGTCTCTAATTCATATCGTTTTATTAAATCCAATGCTGCTTCCACTAATTCGACATCATAGCCCAAATACTTGTTTTTTGAGCCTTGAAATTTGTTTGGCCATGTGCACGGGTCACTATCATTACTATCAGTATCATCTGCCATGCTTGTGAATCCATGATCCCTTCCATTGAAGAGCCAATCTGGTCGGAGATGATCGGAGAAACAACTTTTGTGAAAACAACCGAAGATACACGACATGTGACATCATGTCATTTTGAGGGATGGAATCTATGGAACGCCGTTACTGCCTTTGGTGGCTCTTTTAAGTTCGGCGCATTTGCTATTCGGCCCTTTTAACATTACGTTCGGTGCTTTTACATTACGTTCGGTGCTTTTTACATTACAT